TTTTTTTTTTTTTTTTTTTTTTTTTTTATAACTAGTAACCTCTTTATATTTAAATTAAATTTCCATAGCTATTTATTATTATTTTTTTATTTTTTAGTTTTTAAAAAAGTTAACTTATAAACAATTTACCTTTGAATTTTTTATTTTACTATTTACTTTTTAATAAAAAGTTTTCAAATACTTATTTTTCCTTTTGAAATTTGGTTATCAATTAGGGAAAACTACGATCTCATCGAAAACGACATGTGGAGATACAGATTTTGTAGTCGGATCAATGCACCTCAACCTCTGCTAATCATAGCCGACAAAGATGCACCAACTAGCATAGCCGTCTTCTTTTCCAGCTTCGTCCGTAATTGCTCAGAACACATAGCAGACACAGCCAAAGACTTTTCAATGTTGGTAACGAAAAGCTAATTTTGCTTGGGGTTTCTTTTTTTTAAAACTGCGGTTGTACGTTCTTCCCATGCATCATGCTTCAACGAGTTTCGCCCTTCTCGAGCTACTTACTCATTCACCTCTCCAACTCGGCTTCTCTTACCTCCTTCACTTATCAGCTCTTGTCTTAGGACGACTTGCAGGTTCCTTTAGTAGCTCTTTTCTTGAACGAGGTAAAGCTATTTGAAGAAGCTTTACCGTCGAGAAAATGAATAGTATTCTAAACAGCTCTGGAACCTTTTTCGATATTCCCTAAAAAAACATTTTATAAAAGTTAAAAATAAAATTTTAAGAACATTCCAGAAGATTTCAGAAAAAAAAAATTAAATAGTCTTCATAAGCTTAATTTTATAAAAAAATTAAATAAAATAATTAACCGTATTTACATGAATTCATTAAATAATAATCACAGTTTATAAATTAATTAATAATAGTTAAGATTATTATTTATTAATATACTACTTATCACATTTGAAAGTATTGAAAATTGTTCTCTCTATTTTTTTCGTTAAATTTAAATATTCATCAAATGGATTTTTTTGAAGAACAAAAGTTGTATCGGTTGAAATAGGACTTTCTCATGTCACTATTTTGAATTTATGAAAACAATATTTATTTAATTGATGATCAATCATAAATTAACGTAGAACTCCAAATTAAGTCAAAGTCAAAGTCAAACCCAACTTTGTCCCATGTCTTTCTTATCTCCATGTCATACCAATGAGCTTGATCGAATTAAAATGGGTTGACTCAAATGAATCTAAGCCCATTAAGCTAAGTGGGCTCAAAACCCATTATTTTATCCAAACAAGCCCATGTTTAAGGCCCAATAGCAAAACAGGCTCACGACCATGTTGAGCCCTTCTAGAAGAACTTTCTAATGTTAAGCCACACCGAAAGGATTGACTTTTTCTTTTCAGGGATATGTTTCGACTGCTTCCTTCGCATCAACTACTTGACCGTCGGAAAGACGCCTCGATTTTTCTTGTTTTATTACTAAGCTGGAAGCTTGCCTATAACCCGCATCAGATAGCTTGAAAAGTCAACACAAGGTATTCTGGTAGAGAGCTCTCGCCCTTCAAATTGGATTGAGAGCTCATTCGTTCAAAGAGATAAGAAAGAGAGAATTGAGGATTGTTGACTTTAGATCTTCTCGAAGAATCGAAGACAATTTCAACTATCTTCAAACATCGAGTCCATGTCGATTATTCTCTATCTCGTTCACACCCAATCAAATCATTTGAATAAGTCAGTTAAATATTCCCCAAACCCAACTAACGAAATTACAACAGTTAAGATACTTTTCTCATTTTCTTCAAAATTTTTATCATTTTTTTTCAAAATTTTAAGATTCATTCGTATATATAAAACTAATTATAATTAAAAATAATTATATAATTTATATAATTGTATCATAAAAAAAAAAAAAAAAAAAAAAAAAAATATATATATATATATATATATATATATATTTGTTTAAAAAATTAATATATAAAGTTCTCATTTATTTTAAAATCAATGATTTTAAATCATTAAAAGTAAATTAAAATAAGCTAAAACAAGAGAAAATGAAAGGATCTCTATCTGAAGAGGACACGTGGCGCCATCGGGATAACACGTTGGGTTTTTGAAAGCTACGGCTTACCGGTCCAGTAGCACGTGCTTTGAATTTTCCCGCCTTCTTTCTTTATTTCCTTTAAATATTATAGCTTTTTGTTTTAAATAATTTTAATTTTTGTCGTTTACATTAATCAATTCTTAGTGTTTAAAATCACTTACGTGCACCACTTGACGTTCGATTCGTAGTATTTTAGTATCCAAACACGAGACAATAGTACGTCTCTTTTGACCTAACGACATCGTTCAAAGTTCATAGAATTTTAAATTTTATAGTAACTTTAAACCTAACTCAACTAGTTATAACATATATTTTCGATTAAAAAAATCTCACTTTATTTGTTGTTTTATTGTGTCGTTTTTATTGAGCTCGTTCTTAAATCTTAGGTCATTTGGTTGATTAGACTGTTCGAATCTCTTATCTATATTTAGATGTCTCATCTCTAGGTCATAGCCTCTCCTAGCTATCGAGCTAGAATCACCTATGCTCAACTTAAATTTCGGTGCACACGTCTCCAAAGTTCTGTTCACGTAACTCTCTCTCTCTCGATTTTCCTTGATTTATCCATTGTATGTCAAAAACGAACGGACGGTGATGTGTTTATTGCAACCACCGCACCAAATACGAAATGGGTTAGCTTTAAAATTTAATACTCTCGTGGGTGTGTTCACATTATGTATATATGGAATTAGATTGGATTGAAAATTTTTAGATCCAACTTAATTGTTCTAATTGTAAAATTTTTCAACAACGCAAACATTGGTGAGAATCCAATGTCCCGAAAACCTAAGGGTTCCTCCGCAAGGTTCGTCCACGGAGAGTGAGTCAGGGCCTAAGATCAGGCCGAAAGGCGTAGTCGATGGACAACAAGTGAATATTCCTGTACTACCCCTTGTTGGTCCTGAGGGACGGAGGAGGCTAAGTTAGCCGAAAGATGGTTATCGGTTCAAGGACGCAAAGTGCCCCTGTTTTTTTCGGGACAAGAAGGGGTAGAGAAAGTATCTCTGAGCCAATGTTTGAGTGAGTAAGTTAAAAATATGAGGTTATTTATTTTTAAATATTTAATTAAAAGTTTTATAATAGAAAAATAAATAATTAAAAAATAATTATGAAATTAAATAAATATATGAAATAAGAGAGAGAGACGCGACGTGGTGGAGTATAAAAGAGGCGCCGTTGCTTTGCCATTGGCCGGGCGGATCTCTTTCCTTTGCTTCCCCCCCCTCTCCCCGTCTCTCTCTCTTCTTCTTCTTCGTTTATCTTTCTGTTTCCTCTCTCTGTTCTTCAGATACGGGCATGGAAGGCGTCGCATTCATGGCTCGTATTGTAAATTGAAAGAGGGCAAGCGTCCATTCAATGCACTGTCAGTTGCACAACCCTCCATTTATTACACCGATTATTGTTTCTGTTTTCGTTTCCCTTTCCATCTTGCCCTGCATGGCCCTTGATTTCTGTATCTTTCAATGATCCCGATTTGATTTGCTGATTGATAGCTTTGCTTCGGACTCAGGTTTGCTTTATTTTCCATTTCGATTTGATTTATCGTTGTTATTCATTTTCATTTTCAGTCTGTGTGTGTTTGATGGTGATTTCCCTGCAATTCCTGTTTCTGTTTCTTTTCTTTAGCGATTCTGTTTAGTAGGCGATTGCATAATGTCTGCGGTGTTAGCAAGAACAGGGCGAGATCGTCAGCGCTATGACGATCATTTTCGTCTCGTTTCAGGGTATGATATTTCTTCTCTTCTTTCTTCCTTTCTTGTTTCGCTCCACTAGAATACCTATGATGTGAATGAATGATCACGTTTGTTGTTAACAACCATGGATCTTTTGGAATTTACTATTTCTTTTCTGCTATTTCGTCGCATTCTCCTTTGTCACGTTCGCTTTTTTTTTTTTTTTCTCTCTACATCACTCATAGCCTATTCCTTTTTCCTTATCTTCAATAATTATGAATAGTCTCATTTCACTAACAAATTGCCTAGTTTGAAAAGATCATTTCAATTTGTTTTTGCATCTCAAATTTCTGCGCTATTACTATGCTTGTCGCTCGTTTCAATCTACAATTATTGTATCTTTCTGGTTGAGCAATCTTTATATTATATTATATATATATATATATATATATATATATATATATATATTATATACATGGTGGGTCTTCTTATTGACTTGGGTTACATGAACAACATAATGGGTTTCGCTATCTACTTTTTCTCTTTTGTGGGCAAATTTCAGATATTAGAAAAAACACACGGATTTTTGCTGAGGCTGATTGCGAGTTGTGAGTGGATGTTTCAACTCATGCTCCAAAATTCGATAGGGAGTAATTATGATATTTGAAAACACTTGGGTATTTTTCTTTTCAATTGTTTATGAACTTATTCACGTTATAAACATTCTGGTATGCCTGATAGGAATTGAATTGCGAAGCTAGGAAATGAGATGAGATATACCTATTTGAAGTGTATACAAATGAATTTTGGATGCCTGAAAACAAAAATAATAGTATTTTATATGTTTGAATGAGAAAGATACTGATATTATTTCGATAACTCCAAAATTTGTTGTATATTATAATTATTTGACGAAAAGACAGCCTGATGAGTTATAGGGGAAGAGAAGGAAACAATTTCCAGATTGAGACATGGATGAATCAGTTGTTGAATGATATGATGTGGATTGTGGATTTGAGTTTCTACTTTCTTGTTCCTTATTTTGTCAGGAAAGTTGCTTGTCTGCAATTGTTCAAAGACTTGTCCTTAACCTAATTCCCTAAATTGAATGTTTAATATGATTAATATAGAATTGTTTCCTTCCAGTTATGGATTTATTTATTTCTCATGATATTCTAAAGTTCAAATTTGAATTCAAAAGTTTGTGTGATGCTGAATGTTTTTCCTCCGAAAGTTTAGAGGTTCCTCTACACACTTTATCGATGTTGAATTCTTAAATGGTAGTGTTGAATGCTGTTTCATTTGATGTTTTTGTAACTTAATGAATTTAACTCAGCAATTTCTTACTTATTTGTTGCTTACTTATTGCCACATGCGCAACAGATGCATTCCTTTTAGGCTGATAGAGGACAGCGATGAAGTTCATGACCAGTGTGATATTGAGAACAAAATTGAAGTTCTCATGGTTTCTTCTCCAAATCGTGATGACCTAGTGTTTCCGAAGGTTTTTATTTTATCCATTCTTGGTTGAAGGAGTTGGCAAGAAATACCACTGTCCTATATTTCAATGTTTCTCTTTCTTCTGGTTTGTAGGGTGGATGGGAGGATGATGAGACCATTCTGGAAGCAGCGTGTCGTGAAGCCGTGGAAGAAGCAGGAGTGAAAGGAAAGCTCAATGTAGGTTTATATATTGCCCCTTTGTGGAAATTGATAATCTTTTTACATGTTTTCTTCACAAATATCGAACAATATGTGTCAGGGTTGTAGAACTTTTCAGATGCTTGTTGATGGGTTGCCGGGTTGCCGTAGGAGCAAAGTCTAGGAATAGTTTTGTAACGACCCAAGCCTACTACTAGCAGATATTGTCCTCTTTGGGCTTTCCCTCAAGTTTTTTAAAACGCTGCTAGGAAGAGGTTTCCACGCCCTTGTAAAGAATGCTTAATTCTCCTTCCCAACCGATGTGGGATCTCACAATCCACCCCCCTTCGGGGCTCAACATTCTCACTGACACTCGTTCCCTTCTCCAATTGATGTGGGATCCTCAAATCCACCCTCCTTCGGGACTCAATGTCCTTATTGGCACATCGCCTCGTGTCCACCCCCTTCGAAGCTCAGCCTCCTCGCTGGTACATTGCCCGATGTCTGACTCTGATAACATTTATAGCACTCCAAGCCCACTACTAGCAGATATTGTCTTCATTGGTTTTTCCCTCGCAAGTTTCTCAAGACGAAAAGAAGGTAAACAGGAGTTGACCCATCTGATGTCCACACCTTATAAAGAATGCTTCGTTCTCCTCTCCAACCGATGTGGGATCTCACAAGTTTACATAAGCAACTTGGCATCTTATGAAATTTGTACTTCATTGATCAGTTGCTTCAGTAGAACTGCAAACGCATGAGATTGATGAGTTCTTTGACAGAAAAACTTCAACAACTACATTTGTGAATTGTCAATTGAATGAAAACAACAAACAGTTTTGCTAGCAGTTTAGTTGATTCATGTACTGTATTGTTACTAAAGAATAATAAAGCTAATAGCGTATTGTCTTGTTGAACTAGCTACTGTCCATTTTGACTTATTATTGGGAAATTTTCCATTTTTCTGTCAGGAAAACCCTCTCGGAGTTTGGGAATTTAGAAGCAAAAGCAGTCAGGACATCTGCAGCAAGGAGGGAGCATGCAGAGGATACATGTTTGCATTAGAAGTTACAGAAGAGCTGGAGTCATGGCCAGAGCAGGGAAACCGCCACAGGAAATGGGTCAGTATGTACTTATTACTGCAAACTAGCACTCTTTGAAAAAGCATTTTGTATAATCTGGTTGAACTCTGCCAATAATGAGAAGAAATATTTGGTGTGTGTCTGATTTGCAGCTCAACGTTAAAGAGGCATTTGGACTGTGCCGGTACGAATGGATGCGCGTGGCACTCGGAGTGTTTCTTAGAGTAATGGTGGGGGGTGAAAACATTGCAACAACTACAGAAGAGACATCGGAGACGACCCCAGTAACAGTTCCGAACGTGGTTGATTGTGCATTGATATCATCAAACTGCTGTGGAAGGCCTGCGTTCGGTCAGGCGCAGGGTACGAGTCATTCAGCAGCTGGCATAGGGATCTCAAGGGGATGCAGATTAGGCATCACAATAACAGAATGATGATGAAGTTGTGGAGTGGTACAAACAGTGAAGAGAAGAGAAGAGAAGCAGATGAGGTATGCTTTTTGAGCTTTGGTTGGGTTGTTGCATAGTGTGAATGATGGTGCGTTTGATGAAGGGTATTGGTATTGTTGTAATATGCTGTGTAAGTAAATGAAGAAGCCAAGGCAGCCTCAGGGGTGGTTGGTGGGTGGGGGAACCAAACAGTGTATTGTAGTTGGATAGAGATAAAGACAGCCTCAGGTTTAACTCGTGTTTACTGTTTAATGGAAATGGAAATGGTTTAGAGCACCAAAATACCCCTCCCATCTCATAATATTCTATTCAATTTTGCCTTTAGAAATTATATATATAATTTTATTATAACCATCATCTTCAAAGGTTATGAAGACGAGTTAGCGTATAGACAAAAATTCCTAGAGATGTCTATTTAGTCTGTGGAGTTGGTGTTCCATGAGGACCTATCTTAAACGGGGAACCGTGGATAAGGGAGGGAGTGGGAAGAGGGAGATAAAGGGAGGGAGTGCGACCGTGACGAGGTGCTCGTCCCACCCTTGGATAAATGGGGTTGAAGACAAGAATTATATTCTCCTGCCCAATTCCTCGATCAGACCTGTCTCTGCCCCAAGGATTATATTCTCCGTTCCTACCCAATTCTTCGACCAGACTTGTCTTTGCCTCAAGGATTATATTCTCCGTCCCTGCCTAATTCTTCGACCAGACTTGCCTCTACTCCAAGGATTATAATCCCCCTCTCTGCCCAATTTCTCGACCAGATCTGTCTCTCCTGCTTCAAAGAGAGACCAGACTTGCCTCTACTCCAAGGATTATAATCCCCAGCCCAATTTCTCGCTATCTCTCCCATTTCAAAGAGAGATTTTTTAAGTTTTATATTCTTCTTACCTGAGAAAACTTTCTATATTCATATTTTCTCTTTCTATATTCATATAAATTTTTTTTTGTATATTTTTTCGAAGAAAACATAAGTTCCTTGTCTTTCGATCAAATTTAATTTGTGTATATTTTTTCAAAGAAAACATAAGTTTCTTGTCTTTCGATCAAATTTAATTTGTGCAATAATAATTTTTTTAACCTTTAAATTATTTTTTATGGTGTTAATTAAACTAATTTAAAAATTAATTACTCTTCTTTTTATATAATTTTCAATCATTAATTTATTAATGGAAAAAAATTTGGAAAAAAATTAATTACTATTCTTTTTGTATAATTTTCAACCATTAATATATTAATGGAAAAAAATTAATTACTATTCTTTTTATATAATTTTCAATCATTAATTTATTAATGGAAAAAAATTAATTACTATTCTTATTATATAATTTATATAAATGATCAAATTTTGTCTTCATGATTAATTTTATATTTTATTTATTATTTCAAAAATTAAAAAAAAAAATCAGAAGGGTTAAATTCCAATTTTTAATAACACGGGCGAAACAATGCGATTTAATAGTTTATGAATTTTTTTGAAAAGAACAATAAACGAAAGGGAAGTCCATAGTTGGATTAGAGATTAATAACACGGTCTGGAAATCTTGCACGGGTGAAGGAGACAAAAGGATGCATGTTGACTATCTGGACAGGGAATGTGCCCGCGAACGCGAATGATGTGTGTTGCAATTCGGACAAAGCACGTGTTAGCTTACTAGTAGAAACACATGCCATTAACAAATTGGATCACTTGACCTGCATCCAACTTGCACCCACCACCCTATAGTTGACCCGGGATCACGACCCACATCCATGAACCAACTTGACCCAGCTCCCATGACTCGCGACTACACTTCCTTTCCACGTGTGATACACGTGCATAGTAAGCATGCGTAAATACCCCATCCAGTGCCTATACGACGTGTGAGTTCCCATTTCTTTGTCATTCAACCCCAGTTTGTAACTTTTCTATCCCAATTCTATTTTCATGTGAATTAGGTTCCTCTAGAGAATTTCCCGTGACTTTCCTACTAGTGATTGTACTTGAGAATGAAAAACCAATAAATAGCCTTACGAATATTAGGAAGTGATACGGATCGCTTGAATATGCATGTATGCTATCAAAACCTAACCTTAGACGACTAGTATTAGTATGACCCGAGCCTAGAAAGATTGGATAAACACGAGAGATAATCACATTAATTGATTGGTATCCGTAACTTTAAACCTCTGAAAAGTAACTCAGAATAAGTCAAAATTGATCCCACATGCAATCTTATAATTCTATGATTAAACTCTCCCATAAATTTACAAAAATTTAATGGATATACTGTATAATTTTGTTTTTATTAGAAAGAAGCGTGTTATATTATAAATAATTGGGGCAAAAATAAATAAATAAATAAATAAATATATGTACTTTATTATATTATTATTATTATTCTTATTATTATTATTATTATTATTATTATTATCTGTACTTTTTATTTTCTGATTGTCCTTGTTGTCGTAGACGTGGCCTGTGGGAGTAGACTTCAGCAATGCAATTACAAATTAATGTAGATGACGTGGACATTTGGGGTTTGGTTTGGAGTCACGCGCCATTCAAGTGTTTTGACTTCACGTGCACAGCCTAGGCACGTGATCTCCACCCGCCGCCCCCTCTTCCTTTTCTACGCGTTTCTCGTGACGCGTCCAATGCGTGTGCGTCTTACAATTTTCTTCCTTTTTTACCCTTACCATTTCTATCCACATTAATTAATTATCTTCTATTTTTTTAAATTAAATTTATTTTATAATTATAAAATTAAGTGAAATTAATTAATTACAAATTATAAAAAAAATTAATGAATTATTTCAATGGACCAGTCTATTATATAGACTAGATTTTGGCATAGCCTAAACTTAGTGGACAACCGGGCAAATACACATTGACAGGAATTAACTATAAATGGTGGTTTGTTCTCCCCAACCAACGCGGGACATCACAGTTCAGCCTCTTCCAAAACCCAACGTCCTCGCTGGCACTCTTTTCTTCCGCCAATCGATGTGGGACCACCCCCAAATCCACTCCCTTTGGGGCCATCATCCTTACTGGCACATCGCCTCGTGTCTACCCCCTTCGGGGAACAGCAAGAAGGCTGTCACATCGTCCAGTGTCTGGTTCTGATACTATTTGTAACGACCCAGATCCACCGCTAGCAGATATTGTCCTCTTTGAACTTTCCCTTTTGGGCTTCCCCTCAAGGCTTTAAAATGCGTCTGCTAAGGGAAGGTTTCCACACCCTTGTAAATGGTGGTTTGTTCTCCTCTCCAACTAATGTGGGACATCACAATTCAGAATCTGGACTCGACACTTGATAGCCCTGACATTCTCCTGTAACTACCTATTTCTCACTTTTAAGAGTAAATACTGGAAATAAACCCTAAATCTCAATGATCGAAAGTGTGAATTTTAAAAATTTATTGTTATGATCCATGCATATGATTAAGAATCTGGATTCAACACCGGATAGCACTGACATTCTCTTGTATCTACCCGCTCCTCGCTTCTAAGAATAAATACTATCCCACAAACCAACATGTCTTTTTACGCTTTGTTCTCACTCATATGGTTCTTAGAAAAATTCCCGGGAAGTCATCCAACATAGAAATACGCTAAACAAAACACATTTTACTTTCATGTTTCTTTGCTATAAGTAGTAACTTTCGATTCTTTTAAGCATTTTTAGCCCTGTTGGATCTATAGGATCGCTCTCGTTTGAGTGTTATTCCAGTTCATTCATGTATTTCTCTTTTACTCGGGTATCATATTTATCAACAAAACTGAATCGAAGTTCAAATATAACATTGACGTATGAAAGGTACGACGAAAGTGGAGAGATTTGAACGAGATAGGAACGAGAGTGGATGAAAGTATTGGGCATTGGGGATTTGAAATTTGATATGACACGTAATCAATAAGGAAGGAATTCATTGGATTAAGGCTCTATGCCACATGTCATGTTATGTTGATGGGTTTGAAATGAGAGACCATCCCCATTAATTCCATTATATATTGCATAACAATTTGCTGACTCAAACAAAAATATTTTATTTTATTATTTTCTTCACCTAATTATACCATCCACTAACATTTGCCTGAATTTTTTTTTTTTTTGTTAGCTTTTGAATTAAAAAATAAATAAAATTAATAATCACGAGATCTTAATTCGATCGGAGAGAGGAACAAAACAATTTTATAAGGGTGTAGAAACCTTTCCATTATAGACGTGTTTTAATCGTGAAGCTGATGATAATACGTTACGGGTCAAAGCAGATGATATATGTTAATGGTGGACTTGGACGGTTAAAAACGGTATTAGAGCCCGTCACTAGGCAGTGTGTGCCAGTGAGTATGCTGGCCCCTAAGGGAGGTGGATTATAAGATCCCACGTTGGTTGGATAGGGGAAGAAAATATTTCTTATAAGAGTGTAGAAATCTCTCCCTGATAGACTCGGTTTAAAATCGTGAGGTTAACGATAATACGTTATGGGTCAAAGTAGACAATGTTTGTTAACGGTGGGCTTGGATTGTTACAAATGGTATCAGAGCCAGTCATTGGATAGTGTGCCAGCGAGGATGTTGGCCCCTAAGGGAAGTGGATTATAAGATCCCAGATCGGTTGGATTGGGGAAGAAAACATTTCTTATAAGGGTATGGAAATCTTTCCGTAATAGACGCGTTTTAAATCGTGAGGTTAACGACAATACGTTACAGGTCAAAGCAAACAATATATGTTAATAGTGGGTTTGAATTGTTACAATTGGTATAAGAGTCAGTCACCGAGTAGTGTGGCAGTGAAGACGCTGGCCCCTAAGAAAAGTGGATTATAAGATCTCACATCGGTTGGATAGGAGAACAAAGCATTTCTTAGTATACATGTTTTAAAACTGTGAGGCTGATGATAATACGTTACGGGCAAAAGCGGACAATATCTATTAATGGTCGACTTGGGCTGTTACAAATGGTCATTGGGCAGTGTGTCAATGAGGACGTTGGCCCCTAAGGGAGGTGGATTATGAGAACCCACATCGGTTGGATATGGAAACAAAACACTCCTTATAAGGGTGTGAAAATCTCTCTCTAGTATACGTGTTTTAAAACTGTGAGACTGACGACGATATGTAACGAGTCAAAACGGACAATTTCTGCTAGCAATGGGCTTGAGTTCTTACATATAAGATCGAACCTTAACAAACCAATAGTTTTAGTCCTTTTACGTTAATTTGTTTCCAACAAATGAATATTAGTTAAGATGAATAATAAATATCAAAATGATCACCTTTTAACTCGAATA